CCGTACGGGTCTGGATGGGGAGAAACAGACTCAGGCTCAACCCTTCCAAGACTGAGTGGCTGTGGTTGCCGGCCCCCAGACATAGTCAGCTGACTCCGTCGCTGACTATAGGGGGCGAAACTTTGGCCCCCTCGGAGAGGGTTCGCAATCTGGGTGTCCTCCTGGATCCACGGCTGACACTAGAAGATCAGCTGACGGCTGTGGCTAGGGGGGCGTTTTACCGGGTACGCCTGGTTCACCAGTTGCGGCCTTTTCTGGACCAGGACGCCTTGCGCACAGTCACCCATGCTCTTGTCACCTCCCGCCTGGACTACTGTAATGCTCTCTACATGGGGCTCCCCTTGAGGAGCACCCGGAGGCTCCAGTTAGTCCAGAATGCAGCCGCGCGGGCGGTGATGGGAGTGACTCGTCGCTCCCATGTAACGCCGCTGTTGTGCGAGCTGCACTGGCTGCCGGTGGCTTTCCGGGTGCGCTTCAAAGTGTTGATTATCATCTTTAAAGTGCTCCATGGCATCGGACCTGGTTATCTCCGAGACCGCCTTCTGCCGCAGATTACCTCTCATCGGCCGATACGCTCCCACAGAGAGGGTCTCCTCAGGGTGCTGTCAGCCAGACAGTGCCGGCTGGCGACCCCCAGGGGGAGGGCCTTCTCGGTTGGAGCCCCCACCCTATGGAACAAACTACCCCCAGAGATCCGGGTGATTCCGGATCTCCCCTCCTTCCGCCGCGCCCTCAAGACATGGCTATTTAAGCTAGCAGGTCTGGCCTAAGGGATATTTTAATCTGGTTTTTAAAACAATTTTAAAAAGAAATGGCCAATTAATATTTTGTTTTAATTACTTTTTAAATTTAGTATTTATTGTATTATCTATTGTTTTAAATGGCTGTAAGCCACCCTGAGTCCGTTGGGAGAAGGGCGGGGTAGAAATTTAAATAAAGTAAAGTAAAGTAAAGTAAAGTGAAACATAGCCCTATGAGATTACTTTTTTTAAACTGATGTTTATGAAGATGGCTATATGTAAAGAGCCAGTTAACTATTAGATAGATAATAAGATCTAAAAACAATTTGCTTGTTCTTGTTCTATTTCTTATGTATTAAATGCTCTCTAGTGTTGAGCTCAGGTTTAAATATCATTATATAGAATTTGGGGATGAAGATGCATCCCAGTAAGCCAGCACTGGAAGAAAGGATAGAGAAGATCTCCACAGCCACCATATATTTCCCTTTGGTGCTCGTATAGGTGGGGACAAAAGTCACCCAAACACTGCAGAAAACCAACATGCTGAAAGTGATGAACTTGGCTTCATTAAAACTGTCTGGCAACTTCCTGGCTAGAAAGGCCACAATGAAGCTGAGAAGGGCCAAGAGGCCCATGTAGCTCAAGACACAGTAAAACATGGTGATGGAGCCTTCATGACATTCTACTATGATTTCTCTATGGAGTGCCTCCATGTTTAAATTAGGAAATGGGGGAGAAGTAGCCAGCCAACCAATACAAATTCCTACTTGAATGAAGGAGCAGAACAAGATAATAGAGTAGGCCAACTTTTGCCCCACCCATTTATGGAATAGGCTTCCTGGCTTTGATGCTAGGAATGCTACAATGACCATGATAGTTTTGGCCAATATAGAAGAGATTGCAATAGAGAAGATGATGCCGAATGTTGTTTGTCGGAGGAAGCATGTTGCCCTATTGGGGTGTCCAATGAACAGAAGTGAGCAAAGGGAACAAAAAAAGAGGGATGTAAGTAGAAGGTAAGTGAGGTTGCGATTGTTGGCTTTGACGATGGGAGTGTCCCGTTGCTTGATGAAAATTACAAGCACAAGACCTGTGGAGAAGGAAAAGAGAAGAGCCAGAGACACCAGAATGATGCCCAGTGGCTCTTCAAAGGAGAGGAAATTCATTGTCTTTAGAATACACTCATCGTGAGCTTGGTTTGGGAACTGATCCTCTGGACAACTCTCACAAATCTCCATGTCTGAAAAGAAGAAAAGAGTTTCTGAATAGAATTAAACTTTTCTCAAGTATCAGAACTGCTTTTCTAGAGTTCCCTCCAATGGGTTTTCTAAAACTTTTTGTAACTCTTGTGCTTCAATTTTTTCATTAGTTGATCAGAATATAAAATACAAAGGATAATAAAAATGATGGGAAACAAGGGAAATAAAAGAGAAAAAGAGAGGTTGAATAGAAAGGGGAAAAACATTAATCCTGTAGCAAGTAGAAGATAATAATATTAAAGCCTCACTTTTTATTTTTTACACTGTAGTATATATACTAGCTATTTCTATAACAACAAACTTATTTAATCAGGAAAACAAAAATCAGAGTTTCATTTTTTCCATCACAAGCATAAAATCTGGAAGTTTTTTCCAAATAGAAAAATAAATAAATAATCTGAAATGAACTTTTAGGCATAGGTTCATTGGGATGCTATGAATCTTACCCATTTGTTTGGTTATCATCTTTTCTGGACAGGAAGCACAAGCATAGCAGCAAAATGATTGCCCTTCAATCTTGTTCTTTATTTCTCCAAGAGGACAAGGATCATTACATAAAGAGAGAGGAGGCAGCTATCCCCAAATAGAAAAAGAGATGAGTATTAATCTTTTGTTTTTGCTTTTGTTTAGAGCCAATGAATATGAATGAGACAGTTGATAGCTCTTCCATGAAGTAGACTCAGACAATTTAACCACGAAAAAGGCTGCCAGATCCAGGAATACAACTGAATTGTATTTAATTTTTTATTATTTTAACCTACGTTCAATTAATGCATTACAGCCCAGAATTATATCCAGATTTTGATTATTTCCGACATTCTTCCACATTCAAGTTGCTTCTTAGTACCTCCTAAATTCAAAGGTCCCCCATCCTTTTATTATTTCAAAGATTTCTGAAGATATGTTGTTCACCCAGCTTTTTGGCAAAGATGAATGACATCCCATTCTTTCTTATCCCTGTCTTCATTCATGTCATTTTCTCATCTATCTTTGCTTTTTATGTTGTCATTATATCTTTGTATGGTCCCTTCTTTGTATGTTACTCTCAAGAGAAAAAGTTTGGTTTTTTTTTTTCATGGATATTAAGGCGGTTGAGCATTCCTTGAGAAAAGGAGACTTGATAGACATACCAGAGAAGAAAAATATTTTATTCTATGAGGTAAACTGGGAGGAGTGTCTTAAATTTAATGAGCTAATTAAAGTTAGGATGGATTTTTACAAGTCTGATTTATGAAATTGAATGACATCTCTAATGTACAGTAGTTTGCTGTTTATAAGGTAGGTCTGCAAATGTTTTTTTCATATATAATTCTCTAGTAATTCCTAAAGTTTTTAAAATATTATTGAAAGTGAATTTGAATGTTGGAATGTTAGGAGGAAGTAAAAAAAGATGTAGTAGAATTTACTGATTTTAGAAATACTTTTAAAGTAAAGTTTTAAAATGGATGTTTAAAAAAAGGATTTCCCCCTTTGGTAAGAGAACTTGGGACAACGTAGTAATTGTGTTAATATAAATGATGATAATTTGGGAAGATTAATAAGTGCAAACAGAAATATATATTATTTCCTAAACTTTACTGGACCTAAAGGAAAAAGAAAGAAGAGGTAAAAAAATGATTGTTTTATTCAAAGAAAGGAACATATTTAATTTTGTTCCCATTTGGAAATCACTTCAGGATTTTGTGCTTTTGATGGAAAAAAATGAAACTTTGATTTTGATTTTGCTGATTAGATAGGTTTGTTTTTATAAAAATGGCTAGTATTTATTATTGTGTAAAAGGAAAAGTTGAAGTTGTAATGTTCTTATCCTCTACTGTGCTAAAAAGAGTCAGTAGTCAATGCCTTTTTTTCTTTTTCCCCTTCTATCACAGTTTTTCCTTTTCCCATTTCCCTCCCTTAGTTTCCCATTATTTTAATTTTGTTTGAATTTTATATTCTGATCAACTAATAACAAATTTAAATGAGGTGAAATACTCTATAGATGGATAACAATGCTAAATCCAGTGTAAACATCTGGCTGACTGAATTTACTGGCAACTAATGGAAAGAACCTAAAACTTTGAGGATTTGAAGAAAGCTGAGAGTTTGAGATTGTTAATTGTTTGTTTCACTGAAGAAAAGACTTTGTCTCTGGTAGCATTAATTATATTATTGAAATTTGGCTACATATGAGTTCTTTCTTGGGAATGAAAGTTTAGATATCAAGGTTTAGATATCAGTTGGGAAGGCAAATATCTGGGCATGGAACTGTATTTCTTTAACTAACTGAGAGCAAATTTCCTTGCACAGGAAATTTGGAAATTCTAAAGAATGAGATTATACAACATTAAACAGGCCAATACGTCGGTTTTTGCACATCTTCGACAGAGATGCAGTGCAATGTAATTGGATACTAAAACTAGTGCTATCTATGGGCTAAAGGAAAGGCTACATTTGTGCAAAGTAGTGTATATGAAATTGGGTCTTTTGGTCAATGTTATGGTACCTGAGTGAATTCATGATGCCACTGAATTTTGTCTGGATGTATGCAGAAGGTTTCTTCTGGAGGAGCTCGTGGATCCATTTCTCCAACTGGAATGTTGATATAGGAGTTGTTTGGGAAAGTAACCAAATTTACAATGTCAAATCCAGCCTCTAGGACCCCTTCTTCATTTAATTTAATTTCATCTCCAGCATTGTTGTTGAAGGAAATTCTCTGCAGAAATGAGTGGAGCTTGCAGAAGAAAAAGGATAAGGGTTACAAAGAAAAAGATATGTTTCCTAAATGGCCTCACGCAATACTTGCTTTTAAATTTGGAGTGTTTCTTTCCCCAAAATAAGAAAGTATGGAGGACTGAAACAGTCTAATTGTTATTATTGGACCATAATCCATGTTGGATACTAAAATCTCTTTTGGTACTCAGTGAATTTGTTTCGTGACATTTCTGTAAGATAGTTTGAAAAGTGTAAGAAGAAACAATAGGAAAAAATATAGTACAGAGAATTAGTAATGAAGAAGAGGTTTAAAGATCAGTTGAGTTGGTGTGGAAAGAAGGAAAAGCTGAAATGTGCAGGCAAAGGACAATTATTATTATTATTATTATTATTATTATTATTATTATTATTATTATTATTTGAATTTATACCCCACCCTTCTCCTTGCGGACTCAGGGCGGCTTCTGTGGGTCAATATTTGTAATGCGTGAACATCTATTATCTTTAGATAGCTGACTTACAATGATCTGTTGACTCTTTTAATTTTGGCACTCTGTTGTAACCATGAAGAATCTTTTAAAAGAGAACTGAGAAAGAGGAAATCTTACCTGCCAGGCTTCTACAATCTTGGATCGCACTTGATCCCTGCCCTTTTGTATGTTCTGATGTGTCCTAATTGTGTGAGCAGCTTGTAAGGCTTTAGCCACAGCAAAGACAGCATTGTAGATACTGTAACTAAGGCTAAGCATGCTGGTTTCAAAGAAGGGTGCAAGAAGGTTCTCCAGTCTTTCTTCTCCAGTACAGTCCCCTTCTTCAGGAGCATCTTTATTTGGTATGGAGCAGCTAAAAGCTTGGTTCCAAAAATCTCTGATGAAGCCATCTTGATTTGCCCCAGAAAAGGTGACAGACTGTATAAATTGTTGGAAACCTGGAACTTCTTTTTTGTTAATTGAGAAGGAAATGGCCCCATGGAACATTTGCATATCAAGCTCCCTTTGGAAGGTATGTAATGTGAAATCATTTTGTGCCATTGTGATCCACACTTTTGTTGCAGAATGTTTCTGTGAAGACTCAAGAGCACTTGAAAGAAAAATTGGAGTCAATAGTAGAGTAGAGGCCAGCCACATAAAGACTATGTTTTCTCCATGTATAATAACTACATTTGCTGTTTTCTCTGTGAACAAAGTAATGTGCCTCACACATCGTTCAACCAAGTCTAATCCTTCATGAAAATGGAAATTTCTGTCAACCCTTTCTGTGAATTCAGAGCAGATTTTATTTTCCGAGAGCATAGGTTCCAGAGTTTGTATGAAATGTTCTCCATGTTTGTCATCTACAATGACAAATCCTACCCATTTCCATCCAAAGTACAGGAGAAGCTGAATTAAACCATCGTATTGGGGAGCTTCATCGGGGGCCATGCGATAAAAAGGGGGGAAACGTGATTCAACCGTCGCTACCAATTGAAATGAGCCATATGAAATCTAAAGAAAAGAAAGGAGGAATAAGAGAGAGAATGATAGAGAAAGAGAAAGTATGGATGAATGCATTTTATTTCTATTGATTTAAAACACTTTAGCTTCAAAAATATAGAAGCTTAATATTTTAATTTAGTTTAGATATTTCCCAAATGCGAGATATCCATTTTTGTACTTTCCTGTCTATTTGTCTACCTATCTATCATCTCACTTTCTCTCCCTCAATATATACTCTCTCTGTCTTTCTCTCTCTCTCTCCCTCCCTCCCTCTGTCTCTCTCTCTCTGTCTCTCTCTCTTGTCTATCTTTATCTATCTCAGCCCTTTTTCTTTAGCTAACATAATAAAGTGTTTTAATTCATCCTAGGTCAATACATTCCATATATTATCCCTCACACTTTTAAATATTAAACTAATATGCTTGTGTACATTATGTTTAAAATATACAAATAAAAATCAGTGATTGTAGCCCCAATAATATGAAGATTAAAATATCCTCTAAATATCCTCTAAAATATCCTCTAAAATTATTTAAGTGTGGATTCATCTTATCAGTTTTGGAAGCAGCGATATACTGAAGTGAAAGTTAGATTAGTGAAAATCTACACCTTATATTGGTTTTTTTTGTCAAATTCTACATCTGATAAACCAGGTTCCTTGATGGGAAAATCAAGAGATTATAATCTGTGTGATAGTAATAATTCCACAATTCCACCAATCCTCATCTATGGCTCCAACCTGTGGAATCTTGAAAAGCTGCAAAATTTCTGCCATGCGAATGGATGTTTCAGGGCTCATCCCTCCGATGATTCCCATAATTTTCTTTTGAGTCCCACAAATATAGTTGGGGACAATTTCATGCAACTTAAAAAGCAGGTCCAGAGTGGTACGATAGGTCATTAGTGCATCAGAGTAGCTGTCATAGATGTGGAATCCAAGGGTGATGTTTGGCAGGATGTGACGATCCTTGTTGATCTCTTTCACAGCAAACACTAATGCCAAGATGTGTTGGTAGAACTTTGTTATCACACTGTAAATAAAGTGACTTGCTTCAAAAGAGAATTGTGGTATGCATTATGCTACTAAAGAGATATGCAGTGAGAAAAAATATATGAAATATGTTTTGATTTTGCTTTTCTAGATTGCCCTTATGTTGTGCATATTAGAGATATTGCTGAATTTCCACAATTTCTCTCTTAAAATTTAAGATTCAGATCTTTATATAAAGTATTAATTGTACACTTGAAGAAATAATTAAACTGTGATGGACCCATATAAATTAAAGGAAGAGTGAATTATTTAGTTGAGTATAAAGTAATGAGTTATCTCAGATTAATTAATCTGAGCTATTGAGCTATCTCAGATTAATAGGAGGAACTATGAAAGACTTTACAGAAGGATTTCATTTCTGAAACAACTGAATAGTTGTCATGTAAGTCTACAGAAGAATTCCTATTATTTCCCATTCTTGGAAATGAGAGATTATTTTGATTTTAGAGTTCCATGCAAGTTTTAATCCTCTGTAAACTTTCATTTAATTCATTATTAGAAAACATTCATCTTATAACAATGAGCAGCTCCTGCACAATCAGATCAAGGGTAATAAGAATTGTAAAAACTAAACATTTTACTCTTTGAAATGAGACAAAATCTTGGATAGTAGAAGAAGTGCCTCAAAGCTTTGAAGAGGTTACTGAGTGGTTAAAATTGGAAAGGGTTGATTTTTCCATGAAAATCTGAGCTGAGTGGAAATAATTTATGAGTGTATATTATAGAAGATCTTATAATGAGGAATGTAGAGTTGAAGAATATAGCCATATAATTAGAAATTCGTGTTTCCTTCCACAGTAATTTTTTTCTGCTCTAAGAGCTTAAGAGAAGATTGTGAGTAAAAGAACCCACATTTCTCCTATTGTTGTGTTTGAGCTTTTGTGTTTCTCCTTTTGTGTTTGAGCTTTGGTTTGCTCTTTCAAAGATTGTAAAATGCTCTGTGATCTTGTTGAAATAGGACCTCAACTACCTAATCAATACATGAAAAAATAGAGACATGGTATGAATAACTAATGCCTCTCCAAGGTTTTGGAAATTATTTTTATTCCACAGTCAATGCATTTCTGATTCTAATGGTCTAAGGAAAAGACATATTTAAAATATTATAGAGACTTTTATGTTATGGTGAATTAGGGCTGGTACTTTTTTCAACTATAAGGAGGTTTCAGTTCTCAACTCCGTATCAGCTCACCCTTTTCTATTATCCTTTTAACTGAAATTAGAATATTGGGTGTTGAATGAACACATTATTTTTACTTATTAAACTGCTATTAAAGATTTGCCCATCACACATTGATAGAATACATTGATTGAACCTCTGTGTTTTACAGAAATGGAAAGAAGAGAGCAGGACTAGATTAAAATCAGGTAAGAGAGTGATTTCTTACTATGGGATGTCAACTGATTCCATAGAAGGATGTCTTTTGAATCTAATTTCGGGGAACAAGTAATGGACTTGGGACATCAATCCCCCAATGAGAAGTTCTCCCTCTTGGTACCATTCATGTGGAATTTTAAGGGCTTCATCTCCAGTGCAGTTTAGAGGTTGTACCTTCATGGCCAAGTCTAGAAGCAGTAATATAGCAATAAACCCCAACATTCCTATTCATTTGGCTTCTCCTATATTGCTGTTGCCAGAAGTCTAGATTCAAACTGATGCTATAGACAGCAGAATAATTGCTATCCACATTGAGATCTTACTTAAGATTTTGTCATGTCTCAATAATCAATGTGATTCCTTTTCCTAAGCCTCAATTATTTTGGGGTTCTTCCCTGGAAATTTAAGAAAGCACCAGAAGATCTTGGTAACCAAAATATTTTCTCTTGGTCCTCTAAGTGTGAGACTTCAGCAGAATTTCAATTGTCTTATAGAACTCCTCTAAGACAGTTTTCCTTGTATATCTTGCAGGTGTGGGACGATGGAGTAAGTCCCACTTAGAATCTGTCAGCAGTGGAATTGATCAGCAGTCTAAAATTATTAGCACAAAATCCACAAGCACTATATATATGTGATACGAACAACAAGTAAATACAAAATCCTAATGTATGAAATAATACCTTGAAGGTTTGTATCTATTCTTGCATTTGTCCTTGATATTTCCTTCAGATGCATCTTGACAGCCCCTGGAGGATTGACCTGTTAATTTAATCATAATGTTTGTGATAAGTAGACAGATGTTAACTTTGTTATTAGAAATGCTGAAACAAACGTATTTGTGAAATGCTAGTGAAAGTTTTTTAAGGTTGAGTAGATGTGGTTGAGGTTCATACTTTGGCAAAGTGGCCTTTTGTCCAGGATTCTGCATAAAAGATTTGTGGCCATATACATTTTCTAAATATATCAATCAACACACACACACCATGCACAGACATGAATTAAGGCAAATATATGTGTCCCAAATAATGTTTCAGGATCCAATCTAGGTCGGTCACTGGGACCAGAGGTTTAATCTTCTGAGCTTTTGGACTTGTGATTGCTATTAAGTCATTGGCTGTTGTTTCCTTGTGATGTCAAGTTGTCGGCTCCAAAGTACCTGTTAAGTTGGTGGAAATCGACACTCCTTTTGACTGACAAGGGGTCTGTTTCACAGGCTTGAATCATTTCCCTGACTATTTTTGTACCTGCTCAGCGAACAATCTTAGTAGCTGCAAAATTGAATATATGTCCTTGTTCATTGCAATGTGAAACTGAGGACTTGAAAGCACAAGGAAACAATAGCCAACAACTCAATAACTGGCCATGAACTATTTATTTATTTATTATCGTGGTTTTTAGTATCGCCTGTTCACCGCCCTGAGTCCCGCAAGGGAGATAGGGCGGTATATAAATTTAATAAATAACTAAATAAACATCCCATTAAAAAGTCACACACCAACAGGTACCACATAGATACTATGCATGGAATAGCTCAAACCACACATTTTGGTAGACAGAAGTTTCCCAAGGATGGGCTCTGAAAGCTGAGAAGACTAACCTTCCTGTCCTGGTAACCAACATGGATTGGAACCTGCAAAACACACACACACAGAGACTCTCAGACACACAGATACCCACACACTGATACACAGACACAAACATTTTTAGTTTCCTTATCTTTAAACTATTGTGATTGTTAAAGGTTGCATTAATTGTGAAACCTATGTGATGCCCCCATATATGTGAACTGCTGAACATGCCCTTGGAAGAAAACATTTACAGAAAACTGCACTGACCCAAAGTGGC